CACAAATGCACCACTTTTATACGTTTAATGAATCATATTTTACGTGCTTTTATAGGAAAATTTGTTGTGGTTTATTTTGATGAGATCTTAATCTATAGCAAAAACTTAGGAGAGCATTTGGAACATTTAAAATGTGTGCTAATTGTTTTAAGGAAAGAACAAATCTATGCTAATCTTAAGAATGCACGTTTTGTATGAATATAGTTATTTTTCTTGGTTTTGTGGTTAGTGCTAATGGGGTAGAAGTAGACGATGAAAAGATAAAAGCTATTAGAGATTGGCCGACACCTAAAAGCATAATGGAAGTTAGGAGTTTTCATGGTTTGGCTAGTTTTTATAGGCGATTTGTGAAGGATTTTAGCACTATCACTGCACCACTCACGGAAGTAGTTAAAAAGAGTATAGGTTTTCATTGGGGTGATGAACAGGAACTTGCATTTAATACTATTAAAGGTAGATTGTGTGAAGCATCTGTTTTGGCATTACCTAATTTTGACAAAACATTCTAGATTGAGTGTGATGCATCAGAAATAGGGATTGGAGCAGTTTTAATGCAGGATCGGAGGCCTATTGCATACTTTAGCGAGAAATTGAGTGGAGCTGCTTTAAATTATCCTACATATGACAAAAAACTTTATGCACTTGTCCGAGATTTGGAGACTTGACAACATTATCTATGGCCGAAGGAGTTCATAATACACACCGATCATGATTCACCAAAGCACTTGCGAGGAGAAGGTAAATTGAACAAGAGGCATGCACGGTGGATGGAATTCATTGAGACCTTTCCATACGTCATTCGGTATAAACAAGGTAAGGAAAATGTGGTGGCGAATGTGTTGTCTCAAAGGTACGTATTGCTAACTACTCTTGATTCTAAGTTACTTGGGTTTGAACATATTAAGGAATTATATGAAAAAGATGTTGATTTTTCGGATATTTATTTGTCATGCATTAAGGGGGCGGTTGATAGGTCTTTAGGCATGAGGGGTATTTATTTCGGGAAAATAGGTTATGTGTTCCTAATTGTTCTATTCGAGAATTGTTAGTAAGGGAAGCACATAGTGGTGAATTGATGGGACACTTTGGGGTTCAAAAGACTTTAGATGTATTGAAGGTGCATTTTTATTGGCCTAAGATGAAAAGTGATGTTGAGCGAATTTGAAGTCGATGTATAGGTTGTAAAAAGGCTAAATCTAAGGTTTTACCACAAGGTTTGTACACACCTTTACCTACACCTAGTGAGCCTTGGGTTGATATTTCGATGGACTTTGTTTTGGGTTTAGCTAGGACTAAGAGCGGTCGGGATTCTATTTTTGTGGTTGTAGATAGGTTCAGTAAAATGACACATTTTATCCCATGTCACAAAACTGATGATGCCACGAACATTGCTGACCTATTCTTTAAAGAGATTGTGCGTTTACATGGGGTTCCTAGAAGCATAGTGTCGGATCGGGATGTCAAATTTTTGAGTCACTTTTGGAGAGTTTTGTGGGGGTAAGTTAGGCACTAAGTTACTATTTTCCACAACTTGTCACCCACAAACAGATGGGCAAACTGAGGTAGTGAATAGGACTTTGACACAATTGTTACGCACAGTAATCACTAAAAATTTGAAGAGTTGGGAGGAGTGTCTACCATTTGTTGAATTTGCATACAATCGAGATGTTCACTCTACTACGTCGTATTCTCCATTTGAAATTGTATATGGTTTTAATCCACTAACTCCTTTGGATTTAATTCCTTTACCTGTGAATGAACGTGGTAGTTTAGATGGCAAAAAGAAGGCAGAATTGGTTAAGTCACTCCATGAAAAGGTAAAGCCGCAAATTGAAAACAAAAGTAAGTTGGTTGCGTCGCAGGCGAACAAAGGTAGGAAGCGCGTGACATTCGAGCCAGGAGATTGGGTTTGGGTGCACCTTAGGAAAGAGCGGTTTTCGGAGCAAAGGAAGTCCAAGTTGCAACCGAGGGGCGATGGTCCATTTCAAGTGATTGAAAAGATAAACGACAATGCTTACAAGTTGGACCTTCCAGGTGAGTACAATGTTTCGGCTACTTTTAATGTATCTGATCTCTCTCTGTTTGATGCAGGTTCAAATTCGAGCACGAATCCTTTTGAAGAGGGAGGGGATGATATGATCCAGGAGTCGAGCCCGACGAAAGCAAGTGCGAGACGAGACCCGTTGATAGTCGATGGCGGACAAATGATGCGATCAATAGCAAAGCAAGTGAAACAAGCGATCGGATTGCTCGTTCAAGAAACCATTGATGGAACCATGTTCGGGACTCAAAATGGAGCAACTTTCATGTTCGGGTCGAAGGTCGAATCAACTTGGATCAATTTGTTATCAAGCGACGAAACCGGAGGCTGAAATAAGCCTATGCGACCGCACAGCAAAAACATCATGCGGTCGCATGGTGGCATACCGAAACTTAAATTGGAATTTTTGTTGAACCATGCGACCACATGAAAATATACCATGCGGCCGTACAGGCCAAAAATTTGGCGAATTTTCCATATTTTGTTAGATTTTGATTCTTTTCCATATTTTGGAGATTATGCTCGACTTTTGCACGATTTTTACCTAGTTTTTAGGTCTAGTATAAATAGGAGTTTCCATTCAATTGTTTAAAAAAACCTTTTGACATTATTGATATTGAATTAAAGTGAGGCGTATTGTCTTCTCTTCATCATTCTTCATTGAACAATTTTAAACTTATCAAGTGTTAACTTGTGGCGTTCAAACAACCGGATTTAATTCTTGGATTGCGTGATCAAAGGGTCTTTCAAGCGTCGTTCTTGTTGGGTTTTTTGGTTCGACTTTCTTTTGGGTTAATCCTAAACTTTGGATTAATTTGGCTTTCTTGGGTTCGTCAATCTCGTTTTGGGTTTCATAGTCAACGTTGCTACGAGGTCCACATCATGTCAACCTATAAATTTAAGTTTAACATAGAATGTCAATTGTTTGAACACAAAAGAAAAACTATTAAATAACTTGCATAAAATTTAACACAAGGATTTTTTTTTTCAAATATAAATTTGAAATTTTCATTTCTAGAAACTTTTACTTGGCAACCCCAAAAAGCATCACTCAGTCAATCTTCCATGTGTCTACATGATCAGTTTTAATCTGAAAATTTGTAGTAAGAGTGAGCATTTTGAAAACGCTCAGTAAAAATACGTGCACATTCCTATTAACATGATATAAATATAAAATGACATAACATACCGACATTTTTTTAGATTTAGAGCAAGTTGATTGCGACATATAATAACTCAAGAAATTTCATAAGAATTCCCACATACTGTAGAATTTACATATTCTATCTAACGGTCCATCCCGAAGGATTTTACATAGAAATCAACCCGAAGGCTTCAACTTATTTCATGCCAAAATCTATAAAATATCACGAAGGCAAAAATTTACCACTTGCACAAAGTATTTTTTACCTTAGTTAATATCACCAATTTTAAAAATATTCCTCAAGACAATAATTAAAAAAATGGACAGAATGTTTGGTAAAATAAACAATACTCCTTTTCAACAAGTGTGTGTTAATGTGTGGAATCACTTTTTTTTGCATGGCAAAGAGAAAAAGATACTTCAAATATACATTATATATGCACACAATATCCACTTGCATGAATATCAATCAACTAAACGTCCATCAAATTCAAAATGTAGAAGAGTTAATTTAAAAATTCAATTGGTCAATTATTATATTCTTTACTGTCAGTTAGGTGTGGAAATCAAAAAGAACAGTTAATTATTTATTGCTTAAATGACTGATATATGTTTTATATTCATTACAATGTCATTTCAAATTCCAAGTAGTACCTGACATGAGTTTCAAATATGCTTCTTGGAAAGACTTAATCGACAGACAAGAAATAGGAATTCAAAACCTCTGACGTGGCAAGTAAAATTGGAGGGAAATTATGGCCGCACGTGAGGGACGCTTGAGAGATAAACCAAAACCTAGGGCACAAAATTAATTGAATTATGTACCCTTAAAACAACGCTTCCTTCTTGCAATAATTCCAACTGCTGGCATATTGTAACCCGGCTATAATTTCCCCTTTTGTGTGGTGCAATCCGGTGACAAACCTGAAGCTCAGGCAGGAGTTGTGTAAGAACTCCTCATTCACAAACGATATATTCATGTGGTTGTGAAGACCAAAAATTCACAATTCAGAGGACCCGAAGCACGTTCCTCTTTCTGTTAAAGATCCTGCCTTCAACCCGACATTGCAAGTTTGCAAGTAAGTTTCGTCCCTTAATTTCCCCTTCTGGAGAGGTATAACAAACTAAAGTGGAATAGAAAAACCATTCTACCCTGCTTTGAATGTAATATTGTGGGATAAACTTTGTTAAACATATTATAGAGAACTTGGAAAATTTGATTTTGTGTACGACATTACTATCCAAAAATCCCTGTTTGTCTAACGAAATTATAGAAAACCTTCAAAAATATGCTTGGACCACCGAAATTAGTTAGGTTGCTAAATATGGCTTTAAATGGATAAGACTTGGACCACCTGTTTTTGTTCTCATTTTATTTGAATACTTTGGTTTTGGGTTGGGATATCATATAATGATGATGATAAAAGAAATAAGTAATCAGATGCTTGTGTTATCATGACAAGCGCAAGAGACTCGAGTAATGCATTTGGATTCACACATGGAGACAAAAATATAAATTGGCAAACTTTGATTACGATTCAGAAATATTTCTCCCATATAGTATACAGTAGGTACATATTTAAGTTAGTGAAGTTGGCACTTCATAGGACTGGGCTTCCGCTCTTGCTTTTCGTAGATATATTATAGTTAGTAGAGTTGCCACTTCTAAGTCTAGGCTTCAAGCTCCTATGTTCATATTGAATGTCGTTTATTTTACCCATGATTCCTATTGATTGCCGTTTGTTTTTGTATTGAGGATTTAAATCTAATCTACCTCGTTTATGTGACTTTTTGTTTACTTGTGTAACAACTACTATGGACAAAGTGCAGATCGACCATGATGATGTGTTGGCTGAATCCGATTATGAGAATGTTACGGTCTCCATTAACGTTGTGGATGGTGAAAACTCAGTGGGGGATGGTATGATTGTGCCTGAGGTAGGCATGGAGTTTAAGGAGTTAAAAGACATGTTTGACTTCTACAAAAAATATTCTTATGCAATTGGATTTTCGATTAAGAAAAGGAATTCAAAAAAGGGAAACGACGGAGAGTTGAGATATGTAACCTTCACATGTAGCCGTGAAGGTCAAAGAATCGGTAATAGTAGTGGTTCCTTCAAGCCCCAACCAACAATACAGATGGGTCATAAAGCCAGGATATCTACATCATCAGATGTTAATAGAGTATGGAGAATTAACAAGGTCCACCTCGGCCACAATTACGAAACTAGTCCATCGAAATCGAGGTTATATCGATGTAACCGAGAATTGAGTTCACACGTGAAACATAAGCTTGAAGTCAATGATTTAGCTAGAATTTCATTGCATAAAAGTTCCAATTCTGCCGTTGTCAAAGCAGGTGGTTATGAGAACCTGAGTTGTATTGAGAAAGATTGTCGAAACTATATTGAAATAGTTAGGCGTTTAAGACTTGGTGAAGGGGATGCCATTGCAATACAAGCATACTTTGCAAAGATGCAAGCACAGTGCTCGGGATTTTACTTTAGCATGGATTTAGATGATGACTCCCGACTAAGAAATGTCTTCTAGTTCGATAATCGATGCAGGCAAGCGTATAACGAATTTGGTAATGCTATTACTTTTGATACCACGTGCCTGACAAACAAGTATGACGTGTCGTTCGCCCCGTTCGTTGGCGTCAATCATCATGGACAATCAACATTACTTGGTTGTGGGTTGTTGTCGAGTGAAGATACAAGTAATTTTGTCTGGTTCAGAACATGGCTACAATGTATGCATGGTTAGGCACCTCATGGAATAATTACCGACCAAGATCGGGCCATGCAAAATGCCATTCAAATCATTTTTCCAAACACAAGGCATAGATGGTGTCTATGACATATTTTAAAGAAGTTGCCTGAAAAATTTGGGTACCATGATGACAAGTCTTCGATATTTGGGGCTATACATGTATTAGTTTATGATTGTCAATTTGTTGAAGAACTTGAGAATGGGTGGGCTGCGATGATTAACAAGTACAACTTGCAGGATAATGAATGATTATCTGGGTTGTATGAGAACAAAAGCCGTTGGGTTCCATGTTTTTTGAAGACCACTTTTTGGGCAGGGATGTCGACGACACAGAGGAGCGAGAGTATGAATGAGTTCTTTGATGGTTACGTGCATTCGAAGACCACGTTGAAGCAATTTGTAGAACAGTAGGAACGAGCACTGCGATGTAAGGTAGAGAAAGAGTTCCAGGCTGATTTCAAATCTTTTTCATAAATAGTCCCATGTGCAACGCAATACGAAATTGAGCTACAATTTCAGTCAGTTTATACCATTGCGAAATTCAGGGAAGCTCCGGATGAGTTCACAGGGAAGGTTTACTACGATGTCATATCTACTTTGGAGGGAGATACGCTGACGACGTATGAGGTGTGTGAGGATATTATGCATGAGGGGCGACGAAGGAAAAAAAATTCTTCGTCTCATTTATGAGAGAACTGTGACATAGTTTGTAGTTGCCATTTGTTTGAGTTTAGGAAAATTCTTTGTTGCCATGCAATTGCAGTTCTTATTCATTACAATGTCACGTCCCTTCCGGAGAGGTACATGCTATGGAGATGGAGAAGAGACGTTAGTCGGGCACAAACCAGAGTCGCTGTGAATTATGACGATTTGATCAGCTTTCCTGAGCAGTTGAGATATGATGAACTGCGTCATGAGTTTGCAAAACTGGCTGACCTTGCTGCGGACGATGAAGGGCGATCGCGTGTGATACTGGATTGGATAAAACTTTAGTGCAAAGATCTTTCGATGTTGAAAACATCACACAATGGAAGCAATGTGATCGCACATCATACTATTCAAGTAGCCGATCAGTGTACCGACTCCCAGAACGATGCTAGTGTGAACATAAGAGATCCGAAATCATCGCGTAGAAAGGAAGCGCCAAAAAAACTAAGGAAAAAAGGTCCGTTGGAGTCGAGTTCTAAGAACACAAAGGTAAATTTGATTTAGTTTATTAAAAAAACATAGATACAAATATTTGATTGTACTGAATACTTTCACACTACATAAATTTACAGTCAGCATCAAGCACAGGAAGGAGACCTACTGGATGACATACTGATATGCAGACCTTAACAGCAAAACTACTTAATGCAGCCTCCGCCTCCTTGCCTACAATATTTGATGCCATCAACATTTCCCATCTCACAGTATACTATCGCGACACCATTCTCGCATTCAGGGGTATTACCAATGTCAAATTACTCGCACCATCGTCATCAAATATTATGCATAGTTCGCAAGGTAATCTCGGACCATCAATTGGTTAAAGATAAATTCTTAATGTCATTTGAAATATGCAACTAATGTCCATATTTCATTGTAGGTTAACCAATGCCATACTATCATCCATATTTATCAGACCATGGAGGCTCAGGTTTGTGTAATGAATTCTACTTATTGAAGAAATGTGATGAGAAATATTTATGTTGCTTCTTTGATCAACACAACTTACTTGTTCCAGTAACATTTGAATTTCTCCTCCTTTTTGGCTTTAAGTGCATGTCTGTATAAAGTTCTGCTTGGTTAAAATTGCAGGCACTCTAAAAAGAAGTAATGCCTAGTTTTGATGTCTTGGGGAAAAAAATCCTTATTTCTCAAGACCTTTTGGAAATGGAGCAAAAATAAAATTTGTTAACAATGTGCTTATGGGCAGGTAATGATGCCTTCATTATTACAACACCTTCATTTGCCACAAATTGCATATCCAGTGTCAACGTAAAATATATTTTCCTTGCAGATGAGATTACCTTGCCTGAATGTTTTCTGACCATTCAAAATGTGAACATAAGCAGTGCATTTTGTATACATTGAATTTGCAAAATTTCTAGTGTGGCAAATTTCATAAGTTGCTTCATTGGTAAATAATCTATGCATTTCTTTGTATTTATGTTGTTGCAATTTTGTGCTGTGTACATTGGAGGAGAAATTTCGGCAGTCTCCTTTTATCTGGTCTACTACTGATGCCTTCATTTTCGAAAAATCATCAAATATTTTTGTTTCTTTTTTAGCACAGGTTGGTGTACTTTTTGTTAATTTATGCTAATTCCCAGCTTCTTTATCTAGTCTGCAGAATATAAATAGCTATTTTGCGTCATTTACTGAATATTGCTTGAGGCTTTCTTCTAATATATACTTTGCTAAAAGGTTGCTACTATCAAAGACATAAGGGAATCAATGCTTGAAGATATTTACATGACCTAGGACTTACTAGGCAGGCTACAGCTATTTATAAGACCTGGGACTTCATATTTGGCAAAAGTGTACCCCCAGATCAGTTGCTTGGGCGTTCTTACAATTATCAAATGCTGTACAATGTGGACATATCCTGAATGGTCTTAAGGAGTTCACTATTGTCGTTATGGTCTCATTAGGCATGTTCAACTAAGAAATATATTTAAGTTCTATCATTTCTAATATGGTTGAAAGCTTATTTGATCAACCAACAAATGTATTTAAGTTCTGCCACTTTTAATAAGGTATAAAGCTTATTTGTTCAATTAATTGTCTTCAACATCAATCAGGTCTTTAGCACCATTCCTTAAATATAGCTAGTAGACATTTAAGTTTTCTTGCCCTTTTTCCGTGCTGCAGCCAGGAGCAACATTTAAATGTCTAGTAGCTATATAATTTCATTTATAAAGAGAACGCAATTCCAAATACAGTGGTGGCAATACTTCAATTCAAATTATTACACATTCCTAATCCATCTCAATCAGTACATAATACTTAAAAAAGAGTAATTGAAATTACTACATGAAGAAAATGAGAGCTAAAGCGAGATAGTGCTACACTTACAAAAGTTAAGTCAAAAGTCGAGAGCAAATTTTTATCTAATAATCAAGTCGATCGCTTCCCTTTTGCATTCGCTTCCGTACTAGAATTCGCCTTGCATATTTTTACGTTCACCGAAATATGTAGGTCTTCATCATCTTTTAGGTGAACTCGAGATTCAAACGTTTTGGACATTTCTTCACCATTTTCATTCATTGCAAGGTTTACTAATGAAGAATTGTCACTAGACGATACTAATGAAGAATTGTCACTAGACGATTCACCGGGTGATTTTTCTTTGACAACCCAATCCCAAAATCCGCATTTCTCACTACAACAGAGAAATAATCTCCCTTTATTTACTGTCTGCTTCTCTACCATGAAACACTTTTCAAATCCATTCTTGCATGCCCGGCATCTGCGCTTCCTTGGGCATTCATCAAAGAAATGGCCCCTAGCTCTACAACTATGACACATTCCTCTATTCTTTCCGTCTATTCTGCCTTACGAATAAACTACGATTAACAGAAATAAATTCACGGTCACTATAACAATTAAAGAAACGACTTCAATGTTGGAGAACATTGATAATTTCATCTCAAATTTCATAGTGATTGTGCAATAATAGGCTGTGATTGTTGATAATTACTGACATGTTGGAATGCAACATACAGAGTTTTCTTCATCAGTAATGTACCATGTTAGACCCCTTCAATTTAGCAGCAGTAAACTATGAACAACCATGGAGGTGAACACTAGAAAATAACAAAAACACAAACAACAGCTTTATAGTGACACAGGAAATAGTGATAACGATGCATAATGACATTGCACAATGAAATTAAAAAGAATAAAAATTTCATACAAACACACCAATAGTTCACCAACAATTCACAAATTTGTTATACGAATTTAATAAAAAATGTGCAAAACCACGAGATGAAGATTGCAATATCCCGAAGTTCAGCTACGTGATGCCATATCACAAACAAAGCTTTGTCGGTTGACAATGGTGAATCGAGAGCTGGTGGAAATGGATGGAAACGACAACAAACCCGTGGCCGAAAATGGTGAGGCGATGGCCAAACCCCCCGATCGAAATGCAGTCAGAGCGCCAATGGTGACGTCGTCTGAAGTGTGGCCGGAGATGGTGAAATTCGGGTTCCAACTTGGGAGATTTGATTTGGGGGCTTAGGGTTCCTTTTGGGATAAAATGGCACAATCAAGTCTTGCTTTGGACAGACTTTATTCTCTCTCTTTTAATCAATGCCGTCAGTCGGGAACTTAACCCTATCATCAATCCCTGTTTGCCTAGCGGGATTGTTCATGATAATTGATTTGTGTTTCTCTCTCTATTCTTTTTTTAAAATTCCAATGAATGGACGTTTCATTTTGATTTCCAATGAATGGCACATTTCAATTGATTTTATACGTATATAATAATATATTTTTATTAATAAAATATAGGATTTAAAATATTTTATTTCCTATCAAAATAACTTTGATAAAACTAGTCCAAAACTATTTCTTCTTGAGCCAATTTATGTTATCTAATACGAACTACAAAATGAGTATAATATCGATATATTTTTATCAACTAAAAAATACTTAAATATTTAACACAAATAACTTACGATAAATTCTAAAACTGTACATATGCATAATAAATCATTTATGCAAATAAGTGAGTCGTGTTTACCACTTCAACTTTTGAACTTTAGTATGACGACAATGTTGGACAT